ACCGAAACATGTCGTCAAATGTGAAATGTATCAAGATCTAATTCTAAAAAATGTTGTAATTTTATGTAATTTTAAGTAAATTTTAACAACATTTTAAGTTTGTGTATCGACGGTGAATGAATTATTATATTGATTAAACACAAACATGACGCAGTTAAGATATAAATCTGCTAGACTAGTAGCTGAATCTGACTTTATATATGGATCATAAATACAATGGTTATATACTGCAATATTTTTATATAGAAGTACCTACATTAGAATACAAAACCTGTCTTAAATGGGAAAATGTGCAGGTCCTTAGAAATTCTGTCACAGGCAGGATTTACTATATTATCATAAGAAATACCTGGTTAATGAGCTGACAGGCCGAGAGGACTGAGCAAGCTGCTCCTCATCTGAGCTAGAATGATTTTCATAGCCTAAAGCTGCCTTTATAGATGCATCCTCAACAGAATATTGTGCTTCCAGCTCCAGAAATTGTTTTGCCTGCGCAATACAACACATCACCTTTCAATGAATAGTTACATACACTTTCCATGACTCAAAGCATTAGTTTTATTAAAAAATATTTTTTAATTCTCATTGTGACCGCTGAGAACTCCTGGCCCAACCAACTTTTTTAAAATAAAAAGTCACTGAGCCTGTACCCATTTTCTGATTATTAAGCTATTAAGACCTGAAGATTACTTACAGCAAACACAGTTTCTCATCTTTTAAAAATTATAAAATTATCTAGTACATCTTGGAGGTCACAGAATGGTTAAGCCCCTCCGCCAAAAAATTACAAAATTAGAAGCAATCTCAGTCATCTGATCACATTAACAAATAATTTGTCTTATGTGACAGTCAAATCAAAATTGTTTTTGTGATTTTAGGTTAACCTTTGCCGTATTATTTAAATTCACGATGTCCGTAATTACCCTCCACTCCACTCAATACCAAGGTCAGCCACCAACTTTTTACTTCTGCTCACACTTCCTTTTTCAGTTACTATTTCAAAATTTACTGAGAAGGTCCAAGCCAATTAATTTCTTTACAATCCCTACATCTTTTACAAGTATTGTATACCACACTTCCACACAGCTTAACTTTGCTGGAAAGCCAATGAAGGACCTAAAGAACTCTTATTATTTAACTATATTGATACCATGGAAAGAAGTCTCATCAACAGTGGGGATGATAATGCTCAAGGCTTCCCCCCTCTCTGTCTACTGTTGTGTTCCTCTCCAGAATACGTCAGTCACTCCGAAGTTGTCAGTGAAGGTTATCATTACCAGCATTCATGTCAACACAATGGGTAGAGACAGCAGAAGGGAGATGTCAAAACTCATGAGGCTTCTTACTGCAACCTCAATATACTGTTGTTTTTCGATAAATTTAAGTTGCATGCAGGCATATTGATATAGATTTCTTTACTATGCATTGAGTATACCGATATATACATATCAACAAAGAAAAATTCCATCAAATAAAATTGTAAATCACTTAGCCATTGGGAACAATTCTTTTTAAGTAGCCCTCCTACTGATTAGCATTCTGACAAATACAATGCACCAATACATTTAGTGTCAAGGTGCTGTATGGAGTATGAATGCATCTAAATGTTCTCCACTTTCTGTGTCCTGCAGTGTGTGAACATACAGTAAATCTTTGGTTTCCTGAGGATTGTAAGCTTCTGATATTTAATGGGGACTGATTACATATAGTTCATGGTTTATATCTCTCTTTACACCTATGACAAACTTCCTTTGTATGACTGCAGAGATCATAAACCAAATGTCAGTGAATAGTGACTGTTTGTCAAAAGTGGGATTTACTGCTGTGTAAAGACAAAGAGATGAAATAACAATAACATTAGAATCTGATACCTCACACTCTGAGGCAATAATACCAATGTTGACTGTATATTACACTTGTAGGAGTAAACCTGAACCAGACACAAATGACTTATGTTGGTAAAAGCTAGGAATGGAGGTGGATGGTGGAAATTAAATTCTGTGAAAAAAGGTAAAATAAACATTTTAACCAAAAATGGCATAAGTGACAGGATTTTATTGTAAGATAAACACACTTTAGTGGTCCCTACATCACTCATCAAAGGGATAAGTGATTAAGTCACAAATATTACCTTGGCAAGTGCAGAAGTAACTGTGCATGAAGCCAGTAACTGATGTTGCTTCTGTGCCCGGCGCTGGTGGATATTCATCTTTAGCTGACGATTTTGGTCACGAATGTTGCGTTTCCTGTATAAAACTGATCCATGATGAATGCTTGGTACCAAGGACATCCCACTTGATGCTTGTGAAGGAGTGCTTTGCTTGTTTGGAGCAAAGGCCAAACCCATGAGTGTAAATGCACTCTTAACACGACCCAGCCCAGACTCATCAGAGTCACTTTCATGACTGAAACAATATGGAGTTATGTTACAGATTTTGTGGTTGTCAAGTGTGTGTAGGATAGAATGCATGTCTTAAAAGACTCTCCTACTTTACTGCCAAAGTCACCTTTATAAACAAGGCTCAAAACAACTAAATCATGCTGATTTCACTGTTTAACTTTGTCTGATGTAAGCCTCTATTCAATTCAAGACCAAGTCAAAGTATGTAACTTGTAAATAATATGAAGTAAATATCATATATGTATGGAGGAAATGCCCATACTGAAATTTAAATTAAGTTAATTTAAGTGCAGTTTTTAACTTTGATTTTAATTTGTTCACAGTCATACATTTCAGGTAATTTTAAATAAATGAATAAAACTGGTCATTACCACAAATTAATGTGAATGAAACATACACAAAGTAATGCTAGTATAATATAGGTGTCAGGAAAACAATGAGAAATTTAGTTACAATACTTCATACTATCTACATCATGTAACCTAATGGATATCAAAAAGACAAAGTAGAGAAATGATAATAAAATTATTGGAATGAAGCAAAGGATGAAGGTAAAAATATTATGATGAATGGGAGTAGTCAAATACCTTCTTTTCAGAGTTACTGGTTTCTCTTCTAGGGGTTCATCTCCAGAGCCCCTGTGAACAGATATTCTCAAGATGGTGCTTCTATCCACATGTCTGTGGGAATCAGCATTTGATTCAAAGTTCCCATCGCTTTCTGTACCTGCTGCAGTGTTACCAACATGATCACTAGTGTCATGAGGTTCTATCACATCGGACGGATGAGAATCAAGCATGCTGAGACTCTCAATCAGATGGCCCACAGAGTCCATAAAAAGCCTGAATAAAATAACAAGACGAATGATATCTACTTTCCTTTATAAGGCTGCACTATGGAATACAGTTTCTTAAACAGTAAACTGATATTTGGGAATGGCAGTAACAAATTAAAATTTCTTTTATGAAGATTGCCAAGTTAATCTCTGTACTACTGCATCTGTCACAGTGTTGATTTTTACTATTTAAAAATGGCAGTTACAAGTGAACATTTAGTTTTCCTTCTTTCCACTTGCAGTTTAGATGATGTTTCTTGTGAACAAGTTTTTAACTGACTAAATCAAAATAATAAAAAAAATCCTTAAAGAGGCATGAAGCACAGGTACATGATAGGACCCTCAGGATTTATTACATACAGTTTAAACAGTAGCTGGAACACTGTACCTTGACCTGCCTCTTCTGCCCGAAGCCCTCTTTAATAATGGAAGTAGATGAGACTGTGTACTGACAATCTTTGATGATTCCTGTACATGTGTTACATTAAGTAACCTTACAGTGTCTTCTTTTTCTTCCACCACCATATCTGAATTGCTAAGGTGTTCCTTTTCATGATCTAATTCATCAAAACTGTGACATGTTCCAGCACTCGCTTCTAGCTTTCCAAAACTTGAAGAACATTCATCCACTGAAGCAGTTCGTTGTTTTGTATCTCCACACATTCTTTCCATTTTAAAATAAAGCTGTTCCTTTGTTTGATTAAGTTCCCCAAAACTCTGATCAGTTCCAACACCTAATTCCATCTTTCCAGTACATGAAATACTTTCCTCAAATGAAGGACTATGTGGGTGTTCAGTCACTGACACAGAACATGAGCAAGGTAAATTCTCTTCAGATTCTTTATTCAGATCCTCAACTTCAGAGTAACAAGACTTATGCTTGGATGAAAATTCTATTTCTGTAGAATAAGAGTAATCATTAGTAACAACAGCATTGGCAGTTAATGAAATATCATCAGTTGAATAACAATTTTCAATAAAATTTAAATTAATATTATCTTTGATACAACTAGCAGAAACATTACCTATATTAGGTTTTATTTCATGGAAATAACTCTGTTTGGCACCTGAAAATTCTTCTCCCACTTGAAATAAAGGATGATTGGTGTCTAACGTTTCAACTGTAGCGGCTTCAATTTCTTCATTAGCTTCCTTCTGTTCCCAAGCCAGAAAAGCATTATAATGGACATAGTATTGTTCACTGAAGTGTTTCTTCCATAGTTCCTGCCAGTACTGATCTGCTTCATCTGTTGTGCATGGAGCACTTCCAGAACCAGCTGAAGAAGATGACAAGGAACTGCTATGAACTGAATCTTCTGTATCACAGCTGAAGTCCAGTGATGAAATTGTGATCTTGGTCACATTAGTCATTGAATCAGATGTTAATGCTGTGTTAGCAACACTACCAGCTACAACATTATCATCTCCACTTCCATCTCCCGAAGAATCATCTGTACTTGAAGGTGATAATGGACTCCAGCTGTCAACTGCGTTTATGTCACTGTTGCACATTAACATATCCTGTTTGGCCTCTGTTTCTGGAGTTTCACCAGCTGATAAAATGAGCAAGTTTTCATCTTTGCTTGCAGCATTAGTCTTTATGATTTCTGGAAGCTGGAGTTCAAAGGAACCTTGCATATCAGTCTTTTCAGTCCTTGGACCTGAATATCCATCAACATCATCATCTAAGAAGTTCTTGGAAGAAAGGTCAACACCTGTCTCCACACTATCAGAATAAGGGTTATCTTTCGATACATCCTGTTCATCTTTGGGAAAACTGTTCTGGAATGAACTATGGAATGTACTTGAGTGAGGGTGGTAAGTAGATTCTTCTCCACGGAATGCAGTATGTTGTTCATCAATGAAACTGCATTGGTTTGTTTTACTTTTAGAAGAATCATCAAGAGGAGGATCCTTAATTTGAATGACTTGACCATCCTCTGGCAAAACCTTATTACTTTCAGAAAATACAGTACCATCAGCATTAGCAAAATAATCTGGATTAACATATTCACCATACTTGGTTATCCAGCTTTGCCATATAATTCTTTCCCCATTAGCTGACCAATATCGTTCCCAATCTTCGTGACGTGATGATGATGTATACTGAATGTCCCCTCCACACTCTGACAGATCAGCCCCACTGTCACTAAGCTGCAAACCACCACAGGCAATTCCTACCCCACCCATACCTTCTCTTATGCTGTCATGCTCATGTTCATCTGTAGAATAGTTGTTGTCAGTGTGAGATGCACTACAGTAGCAACTCACTGCTTCTTCCTGAAAGTACAAATCACACGTACCTCAGTATCTTTGGCATTTGTACAAGTACTGTTACTTGGTCTGTGGTCTTCTCTATAGTGTCATATGTGATTCCTAGGGTTTCAGAGGAACTTATCATCTCTATCTTCCTCTACCCTGAAGATGGAGGTAATAAGTTTCTTCAATCACTGGTAACCACCTAAAGTGCTATGTGGTGTCACAACCCATAAGGCCACAATCCAGATCTTCACCAATGACAACCAAAATTCTTACAACTAATGCAGATATATCAAAACATCATTGAAGCAAAAGAGGAATGCATTTCCTTGATTCTATAACATTTCTGTTAGGCTCCACATTTTTTAAAACTAATGGCAACAATTATTACTGAGGAATATATTCTCAATAACATCCTGGTATCCAGGGTCTAATTAACA